TTAAATGTACTTGTTTTGCATCATTTTGGAATGTTACCATTTCTTTCAATTTCCATGAACATAAAAAATGTCAAAATAACTGACAGCTGTTTGTAAGTTCCCTACAAATGCAAAATTGCTTTATCCACTTTTCAAAATGTTTTATAATGTTTATAATGTTACTCATAATCACAGGATACAAACGGTCTAGGAAGCAATCTGAAAACATATATCCTGTGCTAAGTGTTCAGCATTTTCAAATACCTTTCAAAGAGTCATGATTTGTACTGCTAATAAATCATACACAAATCAAAGATGCTTCACATCTTTAAAAGAACGAACTATATCATAGTAAAAATATTTACTTATTATTTCTTGCACAGTACGAAGTTACTAAACTATTATTTTTCTCCATGTGCTGCAATTTTTTGCCAATAGAAGGATATTCAGAAAGTGAAAGAATTTTAAACTACATTTTGGACAATATTTCCCAGCTGTAATGCATGACTGCCTAGCAACTGCATTCCCAACATGCAGGCCTCACTGGTTAAAAAAGTATTTTAAATATAAACATAAACATATTTGAATTTGATACCATGTTTAATAGCATGTGGCTGGGGAACAGCAATGCTAATTAACTAACCTCTATTCTAGAAAGTTCTGAGCTATGCATTTGAAGATAATTTGGTTCTCCTCCAAGTCAAAACTACATTGTTCAAGTGTAAACTGTCTTGCTATTTAAATACTCCAGTATAAAGGTCCATTGCTATTTTTGATGCCTCCTCAATTGGAAGTAGCGTGTTTCAGTGACCAGAGCTATTGTGAAGACATGGAAGACTTTGAGAACAGTGGGCAATTTACAAAAGCTGCAAGCTCCAGATTGATAGCCTACTACATACAATGAATGCAACATAAAAGGAAAATGGCTTCTTTGGAAGAAAAGAATAAAATAAGGAGTAAAGTTTCTATCTTCTTAATTGTACACAGCTTTCTTATTTTTTCAAACAAAATAATTGTTGGAAGTGACTGCTTCCAGTAGGATACTTTTTTAAAAGAAGTACTAAATAGAATGTTGTGTTAATAAAACTAGTTAAAATTAAATATCTGATTATATTTCTTTTAATCCTATGCCATCATTCCCCGTAATACTCCACTATCATCCATCATTCCTAAATATATTTATGCACGAGTGAATGCAGAAGCCAGTATTCAGAAGGGCAGAATGATTTAAAATATTGAGTCAAGGTCTTGCCATCTTGTATATAGATGGAAAAAAACATCCTTAAGAGATTCTTCAATGATTTTGCTGAGAATAATACAGCAATGCCTATTTGTACCTGGATGAGAAAGAGATCTACTGATTCCTTACAATGGAGAAGGGTCTTTTTAAAAATGTCCATCATTTCCTCAAAATTGTTTGAGCATTATTAGTGATATTCTCAAGAGACTCCTAGATTTAGTGTATTAACACATCCTTTTCACTTAGAGAAGGTTGCTATTACTCTATTTTCTTCAGAGTAAGCTACACGACACTCTGCAGTCCAAGAGTTAGACATTGTTCATTTCAATGATGTGTTTCTAAGAGTTCAGTTTGTTTTCTTTTAGTTCTGAAAAAAAAAGTTACGTTTTATATCTGTGGATTCTTACTAGAGATTGCAATTTATAATAACTTCAAATGAATCACTTTGAGTACCAGAGCAAAATTATTGTTACGGATGTCTCTCTGTGAATCTGTTAGATATATAAAACAGATAGAAAGATTAATCTTTATCTCTATTTTCTGTTGATATTTGATTTGGGAACACAGTTCAAAGATAGTTAAAAGCTTGTGTGTTAATATAAAGTATTACATTTTAAGCAAAAAGTATTTTAAAAATAGTAAAGGAGTACTTGTGGCACCTTAGAGACTAACAAATTTATTTGAGCATAAGCTTTCGTGAGCTACAGCTCACTTCATCGGATGCATTCAGTGTATTTTCCACTGAATGCATCCGATGAAGTGAGCTGTAGCTCACGAAAGCTTATGCTCAAATAAATTTGTGTGTCTCTAAGGTGCCAAAAGTACTCCTTTTCCTTTTGAGAATACAGACGAACACGGCTGCTACACTGAAACCTTTAAAAATAGTAAGTTTAGTGCTCATGAAAGTAAGGAACCACTGGAACCAGACACAGGGTGAGTAGTTAATATGCAAGAGGATAAAAAAAAGTTTTGATTTTATCTTCTAAGATTTTTTTTTCAGTTATATGAACACTGCAGCTGAAGCTGGTTTTCATTTATCAGCACAGCAAGTTCCTTTCAAAACTAATACATTTTCATACTGTCTAGCAAACTTTAAACAAAATTTTCTCAGTAATGTGAACACAATTTTCTCAAACTCCCTAGACAAAATGAGACTTTTTAAAAAAAATTAAAAAATGCCATTCTAAACAGTTAGGGATAAACTGTGGCCACACAGTGTGAGAAAGGAGACAGGACTCTCACCTTTGCACCTATAAGGGTCATCTACTATCACAGCTCCTGCGCTTGAGGGAGTGCAAAGACTGATACCAAGTTACTTGCCCTAGGAACAATTCACTGGAAAAGGAATCATCCCTACATGCTGACCAGTGGAGCAGGCCAGATGCTACATGACATAAAAGGAGTACAGCAATTTTTTTTCCCCTTCCTTCCAGGCAAATAGGGAACTCCAAGAGGCATTTTACCTCTGAGTGCTCTTTTTCTTGAGATGCAGCTCTGCCTCATCACACTTTACACCAGACAATTTAGCACTCAAACTCCACAGGAAATCTATGAAGTATTGCTGTTCTGTAGTACACTAAACATTGCTGGTGTTTTCCGAACACACAATGAAAACAGTTCAAGAGAGAAGACCTTGGACCCAATTCTCATCACACCAAAGCCTCTTTACTCTCCTCTGGCAGTGTAACAGGGCCTTAAAGTGGATACGAATTACAGCTGAAACATTAGATAAAGAAGGAGATCATGCTATTAATGAATTTCGCCTAAGTTACCATTTTTGCAGGAGCTCTGTCCAACCGCAGCCCACTCTGACACCTGGCAACCTTTTCAGGGTCCTGATGCTTTACCTTCAGCCTTTTATTTCTCATGCATTATAATGAGGCATTCCTGCACTACTAGTGAACTTAGATATATTTCCAGTAGCAATTTTAGACAGCAATATCTAGGAGCATCAAAGACATCAAACATGGCAAAGCTCCTGGGGTTGACAGAATTCAACCAGAGGTACTAAATGCACGAGGCAAAATTCTGACTCAGCAGCCAACAAAACTCTGTGATGTAATATGGGAGAAAGAACAAGTGCCATAAGACTGGAAAGACAGTATGATCATGGTATTACCAAAAAAGGGTGATCTCCCTCAGTGCACAAACTGGAGATGTATTATATTGCTATCAATTCTGGGCAACGTATTGGCTACTGTTATCCTGCATGGAATGAAGAAAGCAGCAGATGGAATATTACGAGAAGAACAGACTGGGTTCCCTCTAGACAGATCACTGTGGGAATAGATATTCACTCCCTGACAAATCACCAAAAAACCCTATCGCTTGGGAGAAAAAAAAACATCTTAATCAACTTTATTGACTTTAAGGAAGTGCTTGATAGTGTCCACAGAGAAATGCTGAGGAGTATTGTTAGAAGCTATGGGATACCATTCAAGCTGATCAACATATGAAGGAGTTTATACGATGAAAGTAGACGCTCAGATCAGACAGAGGCCTGGGTAAGTGGTTTGATATTGTGACTGGAGTTAGAGAAGAGTGTGTGCTACCACTAATCCTCTTTGCATTAGCAATAGATTGGGTGATGAAGCAGGCAACAAAAGGTATCATGAATGATGTAAAATGTGTTAGCAATGATGAGTTACATGAAGGTAGGACACTGAACAATAGATGCAAAAGTCTACATGGTTGGAAAAGAAATTGAACAGGTAGAAGAGTTTGGCTATCTGGGGAGTGTAATGACATTTAAAGTAGCTGCGATAAAGATATTCAGATGAGAGCAGGAAAAGTAAACAACACTTTTGGAAGGATGAACATCTAGTCAGACAGAGGTCTCCATACCAAATTAAAGGTCAGATTATACCATGTGATTGTACTGAGCATGCTATTATACTGCGCAGAGACTTGGCTGATGACAGTATCTAGTAAAAAGAAGTTGAACGCTGCCCATCACAGATGGCTGAGGAAGATATTACACATTTAATGGAAAGACAAAATAACAAATGCGAGACTCAGGAAGCTCAAAGAGTAGGCAATGTTAGAAAATATCGTCAAAGAAAGAAAGCTCAGGACATTGAGACATGTACACCATATGGAAGATTGGAGACATGCTTAGCAAGCATTGAACTTGCTATCAACTTGAGGGAGGAGAGAGAAAGCAAGGAAGGTCAAGGATGAACTGGCAAACAGTGACAGAGGATACTATACTATATATGCTGGCATCACCTGGGAAGAAGCGCCACAATCAGCAAGTGACTGTAATCAGTGGAGGAACTGGACCGCCTGATGTGTCAGCGGCACAGGAGGAATCTAAGGTGATATCTAGGAACAACTGTTTCACTTTGGATCAAGTTAGGATCACAACACATAAAAGCACTTAAAACCCCCCCAAAAAACCAAGGACCTTGATAGTCTAAGTTTTTTAAAAAGTGGGTCTCGTCTCTACAGAGAGATGGGTCTCTGCTGTTCCAGAATGAGCTTGCATTCCTTGCTCTGGATAGGCAGTGAGATCACCTCTCAAAGAAACAGAAACAGTGAAACACTTACAGAGTTAAAACTGGTCCTAGAGTTTTGAGGTCAAATACTGTCTTCCATCTGGAACTTAAATGGCAGGGTAGATTATGGCCCTCAGTTTTTAACATCTACACCACAAGGAAGGAGCAGCAAGCAGTTAGATAAATAATAAAGTCAAATGGGGTTAGTGGAAAAGAAATATCCCCCATCAGTGATGGCATAATCTAGTAATGATTCAAAATGGCAACTGTAGCACCATACATACTTGGGAGGAATCCGTGAAACTGCATTCAGATTTGTGGAAGAAATCACTACTTGAAGAATGTGTTCAAGGGCTGAGAGTCCTCCTGCAACCCGGAATGCTATCTGATCTGCTGCATTCTGGATAAACACAAATAGAGAATAATAATTATATGGAATATTTACTGAAATTTAAATACAAATTTAGTATTTAAAATATGTGTCTGGTGAGTAACTGCCTTGATGTACACTTAATAAAATCTTAATACAGTTTAATCAGATTGTTCACCTTTTTAATTAGTGCATTGATTCTTTCACTACAGAAGCACGGAACAGAATACCCCTTTGAATATACAAGAGAATGTTACTTCAATGTTATTTTTCCTGATGATATTATATATGCTGTAACTTCATTATAATACCACAGCTATTTTGATTTTTTAAAACAGATATTGATTTAGGGCTTCGGTGAAAGCAAGATCAGGCCCATAATGAAGATTATTTTAACATGAGCCTCATTTAGCTAATAGCTAAAGTGCAATTTTGTAGGACACGTTTTAACAATGAGGGACAAGTATGTATTTTATAACATTTCTGATTTCCCCCCCATTTTTGGAATTAATTTCTATAAGCATAAATAGGAATTACCCAAACTTCATGTGTATCATCTATCTATCTGATCCTGGACCCCTGGAAGTCAATAGCAAAACTTTGATTAATTTTATTGGTACAGACCCAACGCCAACACCACAAATAACAAACCTAACAATTGTGGGACCTTATTATGGTAACCCTCAACCTCTCCTTTTCCAATTTCCTCCCTCCTTCTCCAATTGTTTGTTGATTTCACTTGTGTCATGTCTACAATTAGACTGTAAAAGCTTTGAGGTAGGAATCATATTCATATATGATTTGTCTGTAAAATACTTAGCACTCTGTGGGTGCTCCATGTTAGAACAGCCCCCTATGAACTATGGTAATAACAAATATTTTAGTAGGATTTCATAGCCCATATTTTTTCTTATCAATATTAGAAGTCATATGTAAACACCACAGTACAAGACAAGTTTTGTTTAAGAGCATATAATTTTCTCCCCAGCAAGTTTAGTTGTCTCAAGCAAACATTCACCCAAAGGTAAAGCTGTACCCTATTTAAATGCCCAAGATTTCAGAAAAAATGTTCCCATTGATCTGCTAGCTCCATTTCACATTATGTTGGGAGCTAGATTTTGAAGAGATCATAAAGAAGCAATTTTTTTGGACTAATGTGCATTGGATGTGGATTTGTAAACAACAAAAAAGGCTCATCTTCAAAGGACACAACTGGCGTGAAATGACAGAAACCTGTTTGTGTGTGCCAGTTTACACAAGTGGTCAGATAACCAACTAGCAATTTCTATAGGTTTAACCTTTATGTGACTCCACAGTTTCAGTCAGCTTTAGCCCAGTTAACTCTTAAGTTAAAGCTGAAGTGAAGACCTACCCTGAGTGATGACGCTTAGCCTGAGTCCCATCCACACAAAAAACCCCTTAACTCAAGTAGGGTGGTGTTTTTAATTGGAAATGATTGGTCTATTGGGTATAGGCTAAAGCTCAAATTAGCACAATTTGTCAGTTGCTAACTAAACCATTCTGTAGTGTGGACACAGGCTAGCTCCACTTGAGTGCCATTAGTCCTCCAATGCCTTCCCACAATTTTTCCCGTGTGCCCAGAAAGGACTAACAAATTTTCCCACAATTCATTGGGAAAGAATTCATAGAGCAGCTCAGCTTACTGCAGCACAAAGAACCAAAGGAAATGCCAGCAGAAGTCTTAGTGCAGCAAATAAGCAAGTGCAGCAAATAAGTGGACACTGCAGCTTGAGTATTATTTTGCAGTGTAGCCACTCTAACCAGACTACCTCTAGAAAAGCAACTGGTGTGTAGATATTTGACTTAGCTCTACAGTGAAGACATACTATTAGTCACATCCTCCAGAAAGGTCTGATCCTGGACCATTGAGGTAAATGGGAATTTTCCCAGTGACTTTAATGTGAGCAGGACTGAGTCCTATATGAAGGTTAAAAGCATTTCTAAGCTATCACTTTCCATTGTGATTAAAAGTGTATACTCCATGTAGTGACATACTGTTGCCAAGAAACCCCATACACAAAATAATCAACATGTATGTCCAGTATATTTAGAGAAACGTATATGAGAATTCCTAGATACATTTGGTATACATGCGTCAGAGGATAACAAATAGAAAAGCCACTGACCTGCCAGTGGAGGACTGTTCCCTATAGTACATTTGTTAGTGTTGCATCCACTCTAATTTTAAATGAGACAGGCAGTGCAGTTTTCACCACTTCCTATGGGGGATTACAACCTTTTAGATCTTACTATCAAGATATCTTTCCTGACATTCAACCTGAATTTGCCCTTTTCAGTTTCATTTAATTACTCCAAGTTATACCCAATTTTATTATACCAATTCTTCTCCCTCCTTCATGATTACACCATTACTAAATATTACATATTCCCACTTTAGTTTTTGCTTAGCAAACAAACATATTTCATTCCAAATCTTTCCTTTTCCTTGTAATTTTTCCATACCAAATTTTCTTGTTTAATGTCTGTCTATTAGGAAATGAAGTGTCCAAAAATGAACACTGCATTTTGGGTTAGGTCACATCAAAGCCACAAAGAAAAGGACTATTATCTACATGTGTGGTAACAGGATGTCTTCACATGTGTATTCAAAAATAGCACTGGCCTTTTTGATCTCTGTATCAGATTACACACTCATGTCTAATTTAATGTTTGCTCTTGCCTCTAGGTCTAGGTCTCTTTCAGTATTACTCTTCTAGATCTATCCCTCCCATTGAGTATCTGTGTTTCAGATTCTTTTGATAAAAAAATATTAACATGCATTTTTGAAGAACTTCTGTTTTTGTCTATACAGTATTTCTAATCTTTCTAGGGTCCCTTTGTATGCTTTCTCTGTCCTCCATTCTGTTTGCAATTCCTCCTAATTCAGTATCTCTGAAAAAATAGTTAATGTCCTATTTATTTCCTCATCCAGACCATCAATGAAATCCATGAACATTTTGGTGATTGGATACTATGGTGATAAACATCCTCATGAATACGAAAGACAGACAAAACAACAAGATTAAATAAAAGCATTTAACGAAAATTATTGTGGTGGATGGAGGGATGTTATACAAAAGGATCTGATTAGCTGCGGAGTTTCCAAGGAGCTGCTTCAAGACAGACTGGAATGGAGGAGGAGGACTTGAAGGGCTGACCCTATACAGATGGAACTAAGACTAGGAGAAGAAGAACTAAAATGATTATGGTAGCAAGGTTGGAGTAAATACATGAGCTAATTATTTGTTCACTGCTCCTACTGCAGTAAAGGAACTTTAAAACCTGACACTCAGTGATCTAGAATCCATTGCTGATATCACTGATTTCTGGTATGCTTTTGGATTAATTTATCTTAAAGGATGTGTTCTAGATAGAGTGGGGGTTACAAAAGTACAAGTGACTTTTTTAAGAGTCTTTCAACTATTTGTTGACACACATTGATGATTACTGAATTAACTGCTGATATAAGGCACATGTGTGTCAGCCTAATGATTAAGTCACAGCACAACTACCTTTCTATCCAAGAATCCCAGGTTCAGGGACAATTCTGGGGCTCTTGGCCTTGGGTCAGGAGAGGTCATGGGAACCAAAGAAATGATGCCACAAAAGTATCATTTACTCTTGAACACTGCATTAATAATGTTCCCAGAGTGAGTGTTGTGTGTCACTGGATCCCTAACAATGAAAATGGCACCTGAATGAGTGGTGAGAAAACAAGTGTGTGTGTATGGTGGAGGGCACCCTCGCCTACATATAGTAGTATATCATGGCCTGTAGCAGAAAGATGAGTTGTGCAAAAAATAAGAATTAATAAAGGTATTAAAAATAATACCAATTTCTTAATCTAAGAAATATGAAATTCAAAAGATGTCAAATGAATTTTCATACATACTTCTAGTATTATATCTGCTGTGAGGTGATTATCAGCTTTTGATATGTCTGTGTGCTGGTCTGAGAAAATCCTTTCGAAAGCATAAAAATATGGGTGCAGGATATCGGTTCCCTTGCACTGTTTTCCCCTTAAATGAACTCCTCCAGAATGTGACCCAAATTCATATAGTATTCTGAAGTGCTAAGGCTTTCATTAGCTGTTACCTGGGAAAAACAAACATTCCCAGATATTTCTACAGTACCTTGGTACTGAAGGAAGTTGAGGCATATTGGTTATTCTACCTACATGCTCAAACAACGTTTTGATGGAAGCTTGCCCCAATTCCAATCAGTGCAGAAGGAAAGAATCACATTTAAGGGACCTTTCAAGATATTGTTGTTCATTTTTACTGTGGTAGTGGGTGTCTCAATGAGGTCAGAGCCCCATAGTCTAGGCACTCTACAATAATATATGACAGTGCCTGCCTGCTAAATCCCCATTTGGAAAGGACACAGATCCAATATAAAACACTCTTTGCGGTGTTGAAGAATCGTGTGGATCCCTAAAATATTTAGGTTCCAAAATATTTCAGCATAGATGTTTATGTGGGACCCATTCTATAAACCTGACTGCAAAATCTGGCCCTTTGGAAGGGGTTACATATTTAGACTGAGAAAATTATTCCTCAAACTAACCCAGATAAAAGATATTTGTTCAGAAAATGTAAATCAATGTATTTCAGTTGGATTTAGGAACAGCATATGAAACTATTTTGCTCCTCCTCTTATTGATTTTCACAAATATGCATACAGCATAATTTTAAAAAATCCGATTTCCAAGTGCAAAAGGATTTGCAGGTTTGAGACTACTTGTTATGCAGAAAATCAGAGGCAAATGAACAGGCAAGTGAGCAAAAGTGACTATCATCATAATATATACATTTATTACCAAAAAAGGCCTTATGTACATTGGCCAAACCGGAAAGTCTCTAGGCAAAAGAATACATGGACACAAATTTGACATCAGGAATCATAACATTCAAAAACCGGTAGGAGAACACTTCAACCTCCCTGGCCACTCAGTAAAAGACGTAAGGGTGGCAATTCTGCAACAGAAAAGCTTCAAAAACAGACTCCAA